GGAAAATTAAACGAGTACCAATTGGTAAAGAAGAGGTCAAATTATCCCTATTTGCAGATGATATGATATGATACATAAGAGATCCCAAAAATTCCACTAGAAAACTGTTAGAGTTGATTAATATTTTAAATAAAGTGGCAGTATACAAAATCAACTTACAAAAATCAGTAGCCTTTCTATATATCAATAACAAGCAATCAGAAAAAGTACCAGACTGATGGAACTAACCTTCTTGGATGTTTAACAGCCATAGTTTGAGGCCCATACTAATCTGGTCAGAGGGACTTAATAGGTTTCTCTCCTTGCCGTCCAAGGTCAACTAAGTTCCAGGTGAATATGGAGCATCTCTCAAAATGTCCTGTAACTGTGGTGAGTCACCTGTCCTCTTGTTCAGGGAGGCCATGGAGACCCCATGAGATGGACTTCAATCAGTGTCCAGACTACAAAGAGGGGGTCAACTCGGAGGAAACATCTCATTCATGCTTCCAAGTGAAACCAGCCATGGTTGAGCAGGACCTTTGACTTATCCTCACATACATGGAACTGGTGAAAGAGGAGCCAGGGGCTCCTCCCAAGCCCATGTGACCCCTGAGAACAGATCCTCAAACAAACTTAAGAGTAAAAATGAAATGGTTTATTTGGGTCAAATGTATGGTCTTAAACAGCCAAAAGGAAAGTATAACCAAAGATTAAAGTGATCAGTATATTTCTTTAAGAGTTCAAGGGATTACACTTCCCAGACATTAAGTTTAAGTCCAAATAAAATGTTATTTAGACAATTAGTTCTCATTGATGACTTTGTTTCTAAGCAGAAAGTACTGCTCAGATGTGAACTTCAAATCTTGGTCTGAAATACTGTAGTGCCCGCCTGTAGCTAAAGGAGACAACCCATTATTGTTCTAAAATGATGGATAAGTTTGTTTTCTCCCCCTATCTAGAAGCCTTTGAGAGGGAACTGACACTGATTCTAACCACTCCAACAGCTATCAAAATACCTGAAAGCAAATCCTGAGTCCATCACTCTTGAGTCCAGCCTTGGCAGACAAAAGAAAAATGAGGAGGAACCCAATAGAGGGATGCTTTTGGAAGCTCTCGTCAAGAAATTCCAGTGGACTCTGATACGAATATTTGAATTTGCCCTGTTCTGACTTTTTTTCTGGTTCCCTGTCTAGAACTTGTAATGCGAATATTTGAATTTGCCCTGTTCTGACTTTTTTCTGGTTCCCTGTCTAGAACTTGTAATGCGAATTACTCTTGCCTTTACTTCTCCTTCACATCTCCTATTCACCAGTCAAGGACTTTCTTTCCTTCCTACAGATAAGAGTTATGCAATTTGAAAGTCTTTTAGATAGACCCACTAAAGGGGTACCCCAAATGCCTCACCCTGCATCCCTGTTAGCATGGAAGAAGCCAGAGCGGTCTGTATCCCGATTCCCTATCAGCAATTTGGGTAACCTCTTCAGGGGATGGTGTAATAAGAATAGGAGGTAGGAATTGGCCAGGTAGTAGGGTAAAAATACCCCAAAGAAAAGCAGTTTCTTGGTTAAAAGTCAAAATGTCCTTGGGCCCCTTAGCAACATACTCTGTTCCAAAGGCCAGAAATGTCAGAAGTATTTGGGAGCTTTTATCTAATCCCTAAAAGATTTTAGGGTTACCTCTTCAGAGGGAAAAATGTTACAGTAGCAAAAAAGCCCCCATTAAAAAAAGGAGGGAGGGAGGGTGGGAGGGAAGGAGAACATGAAGTTGTCAGGAAAAAAGTGATAGGGAGATATGGGAGGAGTTGGAGGGGAGGGAGTGGGCATGGATTTGACCAAAACACCTTATATGCATGTATGAAATTCTCAATAAATTCTTAAGTTAAAAAAAAAAACTACACCTAGACTGCCTGTAACAAATGACTCCTTTTCTCAATAACCATAGGGAAGGAGTATTATTCCTCCTGTTTTACCCGAGGCAACAGTACTGTTAAGATATATCTGGGGCTAGAGAGACGGCTCAGTGGTTAAGAGCACTGGCTGTTCTTATGGAAGACCAGTGTTCAAATTCCAGCACTCACATGGCAGCTAACAATCATCTGTTACCCCAGTTCCAGGGGATCTGATGCCCTCTTCTGTCTTCCACAGACATTGCAAGACATGGGTGCATTTACACATATGCAGACAATATACTCATGCACATAAAATAAAAATAAATAAATCCAAAAAAAAAAGATATATCTGAAGTGCATCCTTTCAGGGAGGCAAAGAGCAGGTGGTAGTTGGTATACATAATCCATCAGTAATTTGTTCTTTATATTTATATTTATTTAAAATATAAATTTATTCTGTAAAATATGAATGTACATTTCCATTTATATGACAGCTTCCATTCCTTGACTAGGCTTAAGGAATCCAGGAAGTCCACCTAAAAATAATGGCCAATAAACAATTCCCTGATTTTATAGCCAACTAACACATGAAGATACAGTTGCTGTAAGTTAATAGTTGTATATAACCCACTCTGCAAGCCCACTGCTCCTGGAGACCTTCAGGAAATTGTCTAGTCTGGCCACACCATGGCAATCAACCATCACTTGCCACTAACATAGAAGGGTTTAACAAGTCGAATCAAAATAGCCATGGGCTAGGCCCAGGAGATAGTCTAGCAGGCAAAGGTACTTTCCACCAAGCCTGATGACCCAAATTCCATTCTCAGATTGGGCCCACATGGTAAAAGGCAACAACCAACTCTTGAAAGCTATCCTCTGAACCCCATACACACACAAAATAAATGTATATGTTAAAAAATTATCTATTGATCAAACTACAGTTCTAAGTTCAATCATTATTTAAGAAATATAATGCGGGGCTGGAAAGATGGCTCAGTGGTTAAGAACACTGGCTGTTCTTGCAGAAGACCGGGTTCGAATCCCAGCACCCACATGGCAGCTAACAACTGTCCGTAACTCCAGTTCCAGGGGATCCGACACCCTCTTCTGTCCTCCGTGGGCACTGCACAACACAGGTGCACTTACCTACATGCAGGCAATACACACATACACATAAAATAAAAATAATAAAATATGAAAAAAAAATTTTTTTAAGACATTTAACGCTTCAGATTTTTTGATGTGGGTAAGAAAGACAAAGCACATGAAACAGGAAGTCCTAGGGGCATCCTTCTCAAATTATGATAGATTCAACTAGACGGTATAGAAGATGGTACAGTTTACACCACATTCTCATCACCTTTGCTTCTTTGCCATTTTAATGATTTCTGTTTTGTTAGTGAAGGCATTTTAAAGTTACAGATATGATAGTTCCCTTTTTGTGTGTAAAATATGTGCCCATACGTGATCATGTGTGTGTGCAGAGGCCAGAGGTCATGGTGTCTTCCTCTACTGTTCTCCATCTTATTTTTTCTGAGACAGTCTCTCAGTGAACCTGCAGCTCACCAGTTTTGATGGTCTAGCTGGCCAGGGAGCTCCAGGGACCTGCCTGTCTCTGCCTCCCCTGCTCTGGGGTTATAGACAGGGCCTGGGTGGGTCTTTCTGGGTGGGGTGCTGGGGATCCAAAGTCAGGCTCTCATGCTTCACAGACTAAATGATCTCCCTGCCCACAAGAGTTCACTTTTATATGCATCTTAACAATTAAGACTACTGTGATCTATAATTGCTCTATTGTTAGTAGGACAAGGTAGTATCATTTATCTTACACCTAATCACATTTCCAACCTCATTCAAAATACCTGTGAGTTATTTCTTTGTTCACTTTGCCTTCCCCCTCTAGAAAACGTCTGGTTCTTTTCCATCCAAGGTTTTTTCTGAGTTGCCTGACAAGTTACATTGGGCCAATTCACACCACCTGTATCAAACATTTAAAGATAAAGATAAGACTTGCTGATTCAATCACCATTGACACTGGAGTTTTCTCTGTAAAGTTTAAGTGGTATTTGAGTTCTTAGCAATATAATGTCACCTTACGGAATTCCTCCAGATGTCATTTTCTCAACTTGTTTGGGAAAACTATACTTTTCAAATTGAATTGAATCATTGGAAGATTAATAGTTTTGTTTGTTTATAGCATGTTAAGCTCCCATGCTTAAAAGGAAAACTTTGAAATAGACAAAGAAGAAAGTATAACAAAAACTGCAGAAGTACCTGCACAGACCGGTGATTCAGCATGCTAAAAACATGAAACAAAAGACAATTATTTTCTAATTAAGAGTCAACATCACAGACTTTGCAGATGTTTCATAATTTAACCTAGTGTTAAGTATATCTATTACTTAGAATGATGCTCTATAATGTGTTCATTAATAATGAAATATATAAACTACTACTGCTATTAAGAATTACTAACAAAAACAGATACTTAAGCTTTACCACAGAATACAAATACAGTACATAACCACCAAGACTAAGAAGAAATCAAGATGCTATTACACACGTTCATGGTCCCAGCATCAGGATTCCGCAGAGCCCCCGCCACAGGTTGGTTGTTGTGTTTGGGGCTGCAGTACCCACTGTCGCTGTCGATGTCTGCCTCGCTAGCGCCCTGCTCACTGGAGGACTCCACAGTAGGGTGGGACACTCTTCTTCTCCTGCCTTTGGGCTTCCAGAGCATTGTGCACATGCTCTCTGAGAGAGACTTATTAGCGATGTCTGATGGGAAATCTATAAGGCAAGACAGGCATGACAATTCTCTGTGAGGACCAAGCTTACAAATTCCTGTTAAATTATTAAGGTTATGGGGCTGGAGAGATGGCTCAGCAGTTAAGAGCACTGGATGGCAAGTGGGACTAGAACTTTGAGGACACAAAGATTCAAACTCAACTTGATAAGGCTAAATCATTTTCAAAAGTGGTGAAAACAATTTACATTCCAACACATGATGTAAACAGGCCTGCTGATTCACATACATACTTAATACTTGACCTGTCTCTCAGAATATAACTTGTGCCAATCTGTTGAGTATAAAAGGTAGCTTTTGGTGCTGGAGAGATGGCGCAGTGGTTAAAAACACTGACTGCTCTTGCAGAGGACCTGGGTTTGATTCCTAGTACCCACATGGTGGCTAACAACTGTCTATAACTCCAGTGCCAAGGGATCCAACACCCTCTTCTGACTTCTGCAGGTATTGCATGCCATAGATTCACTTACATATATGTAGACAAAACACTCATACACATAAAATAAAAATAATAAATAATTTTCTAAGTATAACTTTTACTTTATGGACCAATTCTTTGGATGTTCCTTTACCCAACACAGATTATTATGGATTTTAATATGCATATTCCCACTTAATAATGAGATTAAAATCTTTTTTGATGCCTTTTTGTGAAATTCAGATTTTACTTTTAGTTTGACTTCTGCTCATTTTTCTACTGAGTTAATTTTATTCACAAATTATAACTAGGGTGACTTTTTTTAAAGCTTGTAACTCTCTCAACAAATTTTCTTTTCCATAGCTGTACTCATTCACAGTTTTTAAAAGATTTACTTTATTATTAATGTATTTGTGTGTGTCTGTGTGCACATGTGTATGCAGGCATGTATGGGTACTCAAAGAAGTCAGAAAATGGCATCAGATTCCCTGGGGCTGGAGTTACAGAGGGTTGTGACTCCCAATGTGGGTGAAAAGAACAGAACCTGGGTCCTCTGCCAGCCAGCTCTCAAATTCTTCATTCACATTTTTTATACAATATGGATACAATTTGGAGTTGTGCTATTTACTGTTATGCTATGACAAGTCTTCACAATTGTACTGCAAGTGACTCTGTATTATTCCATGGGTGGGTGTACTATGTTTTCTCTGGACACTAAAAGGGTTTTGGTATTTTTGCTGCACTGCAGTAATGCACATTTTCAATCTCTTCCAAAGGGTAAATTCCATGTGGATATACCCATAATAGAATGGCTGCATCAAAAGAAAGATTTCGAAAGTCCTGTCAAACAGTTCCAGCTCCAACCCACAGATCACAGTATATGACTATTTTCTTATTGATTCATGCAAATCTTTTGTCAGTTATACACACAACAAAAGAATATCTTTTCTAAGCTTGTGTTTATTCTTTTGAATTAAAATTCTTTATTTTAGAAATAATCCCCTTCCTGCAGCCATAAAGGTATGCTCTCTTCCATCATCAGCCCCTCATTTAAGTCTTAGGCCATTTGGAGTAGACCGAGTGGGGTATAAATTAGGGGTCTGCAAAGCTATCCCTCTCATTTTCCACACGTTTATGGGCTCTCTCTTTTTTGTTGGATTATTATACGCTGCGCTGGTAACATAACCCTAGATAAAGGCACAAATGTAGGAAAGGGATTATAGGGAGTGAGGGTTCAAAAGCATGGGGGGTGGGAAGGGAGTGTTAACAGAATGCATTATACACATGAAGGTGAAATTATCAGTGAACAAATTTAAGTAAAAAAATTGAGATGATTCCAATTCTTCACATACAAAGGATATTTTCCAGAACACCGTAATGCTTCCCAGGCCACTGCTCCCTCATTTTACAATTAGCTTATCAAGTTTCTCAAATAGTCCTATTGAATTTTTTATTAGAACTGCACTAAATCTGCACTAACTTTGGGAAAATTACTAATTGATATTCAGGTTGTCTTAAGGTCCTATAAAGTCAGGGTTTTCTCACATACTCTATGTCTGGTTTCAGAAACTCTGAATTTCTGTTGCTATTATACTTATATTTTGCTTGTTCTTGATGCATGGAAATACAACTAATGTTTGTATATACCTTATATCAAGTAGGCCATTTCTTATAGTTTGTTTTTTTGTGCCCATGTCAGGGCACAAGTGGAGGTCTGAGGACAATTGTGGGAGATGGTTCCCTACTTCCACCATGTGGTTCCAGGGATCAAACTCAGGTTTTCTGCCTTGGTAGCAAGTGCCTTTACTTGATGAGCCATCTCCAGTCACACACGCCCACCCTTTTTAAATTAAGCCATCTTAAATTCTTACTAGATAATACAAGCTTGCAAAAATAAAAGTGGAAATCTTATTTCTACCAAACTAATTATGTCTGTTATTGATACCAAGTAATCCCCAGAAGTCAAAAGCAAACTAATAAAAATACTGACAGTATGTACAATCATCTGCTCAAATTGTGCTTCACCTTTTCATCTTCCAGTTCTATTGTTTCAGAAGGCTGTCTTTATGGTGCTATAATGAGCAAAGCAAGGACAGCATTTTTAAGAGCCTTCCTAGGGTACACAAAGGACGTAGAAATGGGTCACTGTGATAAGGAAAAGTTCCAGAATGTATTACCTCCCCATGACCACTCTGAGCATGTCACGTTAGCCTCATGGCTTCGGGCCCTACAAACCACACAGCATTGGACTATCAGCAAGATGATTTTTAACTGATTCCCAGATCCTCTCTGCTCCTGAAGGACCTAAGCAAATGTAAAAGACCAGATGACGAAATATCCAACACAAAAAGCTGGATGAAGAGAAGCATAAGCCGCCTTGTTCATTTCAGCCCAGGCCTTCTTTGGGAGTCTCGTCTGATAGCGTTTTCTAAAAATGTTTTTTAGTATCTATCAATTACATAATAATGAGTTTTGTTATGACATTTACAATATTTTTTTAAATTGTTTTAAATATTTTATTTTTTTATTTTATGTGTATGTGTGTATTGCCTGCGTGTAGGTAAGTGCACCTGTGTCGTGCAATGACCGCAGAGGACAGAAGAGGCTGTCGGATTCCCTGGAACTGGAGTTATGGACAGTTGTTAGCTGCCATGTGGGTGCTGGGATTCGAACCAGGGTCTTCTGCAAGAACAGTCAGTGTTCTTAACCGCTGACCCATCTCTCCAGTCCCAACATCTTCAATATTCTTTTGAAACAAGGTCTCCTTATGTAGCTGAGTTGGTCTCATGCTCACAACCCTTCTGCCTCAGCATCCCGAGTGCTGGGATTACAGGCCTGTGTGAGTATGTCCAGCTTCAACCCAGATTTTACCTGAGTACAGGGACAAAGAGCAACTGTGCCTTGAAGAGGGTGAATTCTTGGCCTTGCATTGTTAAAAATGATTTTTAAAAAAACTAGAGTTATGGCAACATGGAATGGGTAGGTAAGTAGAGATACACATCGGACTTTCTGATATAAGTTGGAAAATAGCTAGAATATTATAAGGATATTATTTTTTACCTGTCATCAAGATAACAATTGTCTTACTTAATACTTACACAGTCCTTAAAATTCTTTGACTAATTATTTGACTAGTTTAAAATATTTACTTTTTGGAGAGGATATAAGTATAGCTACTCATAGATTTGGTTCAGATCTATGCTTAAATGAGGAACAGAAAACTTACTAAGTTTTTTCTCTAAATATGTTATAGGATGCTAGGATGTTTTGTAAAGGGCTTTTAGGTAGCCATAAAAATGTACAATTTTGATTTCTGCTAAAAAAAGAGTTCCTCCAAGTTTTATAACATCTGCAAAATTCCATCTCTTGCATCTGAATTGCTCTACTCCAACAAGGAGAAAGACAAACACAAAGTGCTCAAAGTGTGTATCAGCCAGTGGGCGAGTGAAGCATGGGAAGGACACAAGAAGGACATGAGCTGTTTTATGGGTCCTGTACATTTCACAAAGTGGCACAACGAATGGAAGGAAAAGTCTAAAACTCAAGAGTAAAATCCAAACTAGAAGTTACAGAAGTCTGAATACATCTGTGATGTATGTTGAGAATCCTTGCCAGAGGTATGGGAGGATGGCTCAGTGGGTAAAGTGCCTGCTGTATAATTGTGAGGACCAGAGTTTCAATCCCTAGCACCCAGTGAGTGACGGCAGGGCTGGGACAACACAAGGCACTTCTCCAGCACCCAATAATGGGGATGAGGGGGAGGATACGATACGAAATGGCACAGGTGGACGGGTAGGGAGGTGGGGGTCCTGGCCCACCTGCAATCCCAGTGGCTGGGATATAGAGGGAGGGCATCCCAGAACAAGCTGGCCTCCCAGACTACCTGTGACGGCGAACTCCAGGTTCAGTGAGACTCAATATGAGGTGGACAGCAATCAAGGGAGATACCCAACATCAACCTCAGGCCTTCAGATACACACATCATCTTCCCCAACACATACAACCACACACATGAACATGAATGCATGCAGACACACACATGCATAAACAAACAGAACACTGCCTTACCAGTTTGTTGTGAAGCATCTACCAGAAGCACAATTTTTGACCGACTATCAGGACCTGCTGCGTTTGTCTCTTTCTGAGTAGCGACATTCTTCACCTGCGGCTTTTTATTTTTTATGTGTTGTTGTAAAAGCTGTGGCTGATTTAAGTTTAAAAGACAAAAGAAGAACCCATTCAATGCACTAAATATACAATACACATCCATTACAAAAATACTTAAATGTATGTGGCAAATCAGTGGCTCTTAAAAACCCATGGGGAGTTCCAGGCCAGCCAGGCTACACAGTGAGACCCTGTCTCAAAAACAGCAAAAACCATGGAGAAACAGGGTTGCTACATTAAGGTTTTGTGAAATTATCTTCAAGAAAGCATAAATAATGGGCTAAATAATATAAATACATTTTACAATAGCCATTAACACTCACGTCTACTAAAATATGAATTTGTTTTCACTTGCATTTTTATTTTCTCCATCAATTATTAACAATAAGGTTTTAATGATGTCATATAAAGGGTTGTCAGTTTTTATTTTGAAACATAATAAAAGCATGGAAAGTCATTCCATAGCTGAATTTTAGTTTCATGATAACAATGATGTGCAGAATAATTTTTTTTGGTCTTTTAGAAAATATTTTTTTAAAAATCTTTCTTGAAAATTTAAAAAACAGGAATAATTAACTTTTCTCAATAACCATTTATATACTAGAACTCTGAATTTAATTTCTTCAACATTATAACTTAGAACTGCTTGGAGGGTATTCCAAGAATTCATGTTCTTTCAACATTTGGAAATTATATATTATCTTATTCTTTTTAATGCCTATTTCCTTTCAGAGGTCCCAAAAGAATTTTCTTTGACCCACAGTTTTTCTATGAACCAAGCCAAACAACTTTTCAAAGTAACCTCTACTGCTTTTTTGATTTTTAACTTATAAAATTATGCCAAGAGGCAGCAAAGACTTTTCACTAAAGAAGCTGAGCTGATGGGATCTGTGCAAAGCATTAATTCTTGATGATAACAGCTGTGAACTACCTTCCATCAACTCAAAATGCTGCCAACAAACAGGCTTTTCTTACTAGCCTTGACATTAAGGCCTCAATGGAAAAGCAGCCTAGAATAAACTTAACTCTCCTGTAGCTTCAAGGCAACATTTCATCTTTTAAAAAAAATAGTTTAGTCATCTGGCTGGTCCTGGATAAAGTGGCTTCACATATCTGTCTTTTGTTCTCTTCAGCCCTAGGACTCTTTGCTCCTAACTGTAAAGCACCTTTTAAACAGCAAAGTACTATTCCTCTAACAATTCAGAATAGAAACAATGAAACAGAAGGGATCTATGGAGTCACCAATGTCCTTTTCCATGTCTCCTGCTGATTTCTGAAGCCTGAAACATCTTGAGGTACATTAACCTTTCAACCACAGGATTCACTAGTGTTGGTGTCACCATGCAATTTGATTACCACATTAAAATAATTTAGTAATAATTTGTGCCAGGCATGGTGGCACAAGCCTTTAATCCCAGCACCTGGGAGGCAGAGGCAGGCAGATCTCTGTGAGCTGGAGGCCAGCCTGGTCTACAAGTGAGTTCCAGGCCAGCTGGGGCTACAGGGAGACCCTGAATGAAAAAGATCAAAAGAAAAAAGAAATAATCTGCACTGTTTATGTAAAACTCTCTAAATACACACGAAGATGACAGGCAATAAATATCACAAGGAAATGATTTTTAAACAACATGCCTAGCCGTTTTCTATTAGTGAATGAAATTCTTTGTAGCAAATTAAGCATGAACGGTGAATCAACAAGTAGTAACTTACTTATACCAGTATTAACAACAGGAATGCCAAATTTAAAAATTAAACAGAAACTCTTACTTTGGGCATGGCCGCACCTCTGTTGCTGTTCCTGTTTCGATGACTGGACACTGGGAAGACCTGTCCCAGCTGATTTGGACGCTCAGTGCACTCTGTGGCTATAGCACTCACAGCATTTGTAGTCTGAAAGGCATTGGAGTAAGGCGCAGGAAAAGGGTGGTAGAAACCCATGACCTGGGCGCAGGGCGCTGGCATCAGCTGATAGTAGGTGTACTCTGTAGAAACAGGTGGCTGAGCAGATATAATGGGGTAGGCAAGGTATGGTCCAGTGGGGTTTGGATTGGGCTGTTGCCATCGTATTTCGTTGTTATATAAAGGAAACTGTCTGCAAAACCAGATTTAAAAAAGAACAATCTATTGACAAGTCTAAAAGTAAAGCTAAAGCAAAGTAAATAAATAATAAAGACATACAGAATGGTGGCTTAGTAATTCTAGGAAAGAAGGCAAAATTAACATCATCATAATGTTTGTCAGCTGTAACAGAGAGCACCACACACTTATAATGAAGGCAGTAAGAAGGCGTCCAACTTGATAGTTTTATGACATTCCACGTCCCATTCTCACAAATCAGCGCTCAACCTCTTCAAGATATTTCTGCCTAAAAGAGAAATACCTGGCAACATGGTAATTTAAAGTCCCTGCCCAGTGCTCCCAACTGTGACAGCCTAAGAGGCTTCCCATTGACACCTTTATCCTCTAGTCCAGTCCCTATCAAGACTCAGCAGGATGCTGCCTTGCCTCAGCAGCGAATGAAGGGTCCTTTTCCTCACCTTTCCAATGGCAAAGCAAAAAGGAAGAAAAACCCAATTATCAAAATCCTAAAAAAATGCCTAAAAGACAATCTGAAAAGAAAAGCTTGCTCATAAATTCTTAATGACTACCTCACAATAAGGCAAATAACAAGTCAAATTTATCATGTTGCATGGGCCCATTCTGCGAAAAAGAAAAACCATTTTCATGACTTTAGTATAAACACATTATCCAACAGCTCAAACATTTTTTTAGACAGTCTCATAAAGCCCCAGCTAGTTCTGAACTCCTGATACTCCTGCCTCTACCTCTCAAGTACTGGGATTACAGGTATGTGCCATAACATCCAGCTAGCTCAAAGATTTTTGAGGTAAGACTAACTTCAACTAAGAAGGATACTTTAAGTTCCTACTGTCTGTCCAACCTCTAAAACTCTTCATTAAGGATTTCAGAATACTGAGTAGAGCATTTAATATTTCATAAGCAGTTTGGCAACCTCATAAATCACAAATACAGAATTTTGCAAAGAATGTGCCGTGGTGTACTAGTGTGCCACAGTGGGCTACAGATCTGTGGAAACAGTGACTGCCTCAGCCCACAGATGGTCAGGCAGAGCTGTAGTACCACTGCTGCTCATCCTTTTATCCCACGGTGCAGAGAAATGCAATTTTCTCGATGTGGCATAGCTTGAAACAGGCTGAAAGTGCTTCTATATATAAATAAAATGAACTCTAACTGTGAAGTTTCAGTCAGACGGTTTAAGAAGGGTCAGAAAAGACATCATGACTATTACTAGTTCCACCCTAAACACTACAGCCATGTTATCTGAATTGTAGGGACTTTGCTAAATAACTTTGTGATTATAGAACATCAAATTTAAACTAAACCAGAGCACGGCACACACACCAACTAACCATGAAAGTGTCAAAGCCTATGTCTTAGTATTTTCTTCTTATACCAGACACTGCCCCGGCAGTTAGGAGATTAGACATCTAATCTTAAAAAAAAGTGTTTCTAAATATTTCACTTCTTCCTTTCAGTCACTACACTTCAAATACACATAAGTGACTTAATAGAGAAGACATGCTCAGAAAACTTTATTTCCTCCTAGAATGAGAAAATAAATTCAAGTAACAGCTTTCAAATTTCTACGTTTTTACTTCTTCTTAAAAAACAAACATAAATGATTGATGTTTGAAACTTACAAAGGAAAAAAACTACATGAACTTGGCCTCATTTTGTATCCCCTCCAATAAAGAAAATTATAAAGAAAAATACCTATTGGACTGGTTCTCCTGAACAAATGGATAACAAGTAATGAGGTAACTGGGGATTGGAGCTGGTTCCACACCAGAAACACTGCCATTATCGTGTGGGAGAGCCATGGGAATCATAAACGCATCAGGATTCTTCTTCTGGGGAACAAATGGCTCTACTTCAGCTGAAAGCTTGACATTCTTCAAAGAGAAAATAGAGTGCATTAATAACAACTGGACAAACAAACAGCACAAAATCAGCATTTGTCAAGTTAGCCTGTAGAGAGTAGTCTCCCTCATGTAAAAGGAAGAGTACTGTCACTTTAAAAAAAACTGAATAATGTTGTTCTACAAAGCCACCAATAAAACAGGGAAGAACTTATCAAAGGTCACAACACTTCAGTGAAATAATTTCTTATGTATTCAAGCTGCTAAAACAATCTAGAGTATAAGGAAGTCATGCCTCAGCATCTAAAAATAAAGCAGTAGTAAGAAGCATAGCTCTCTAGACAAAACAATGTACTCTTAACTTGGGGCGGGGGGGGGCTGTCCATTTCAGGAAATGAAGTTTAGCATCATTAAATGAAAATGAAGGAAAATGTCTAGATAAACAAAAAACAAGAGAAAAATTACGTTTCATTCTTAACTTGGGGCGGGGGGGGGGCTGTCCATTTCAGGAAATGAAGTTTAGCATCATTAAATGAAAATGAAGGAAAATGTCTAGATAAACAAAAAACAAGAGAAAAATTACGTTTCATAGTTAAACCTGGAGAAAAAAACTGAAAGTACTTTATTCCCAGTAGAGGGTGTACAGTGTGACACATTACCTCACCCCAGCACCTACACTCTGCTAGTTTCCTTTCTATATTTTCTTATAGTAAACCTATAGATAATTAAAAGACATAGAAAACTCTAGTATCTGGGAAAATACACAGTTGGGGACAAAACTATAAAAGAAAGGTAAACAAGATCTATAAATGACAGGCAGGACTCTGGAAAGAGCTGTAATTGGAGGGCTTGGAGGGTATACGTGGAGAATTCTGGGGGTGCCTGGTAAGTTCTGTATCTTAATTACAGTAATACTTATTAAGCTATACATCAATTTTAGTGATTTTCTACATGCTGGGAGATGGACATAGTGACACACACTAGCAATCCCAGCACTCAGAAGGCACAATTCGTAGCCAGTACCAGCCTAGCGTGCTTGAGCCCTAGGTTCAGCTCCTAACACCACTGCAATAGGGTGTGTCCATGCAGGTTTGTAACCCCAGCCCTCAGGAAGTAGAGGCAGTCAGGAACTAGAAAGGCAGTAGATTCAGAAGTTCAAGGTCATCCTTTCCTACATAGAGAATTCAATGCCAACCTGAGCTAGAGACCTTGTCTCAAAAATAAAAATAAATAAGGCCAGATAGTGATAAGTGTATAAGAAACAAGAAAAAGAAGGTCTCAGTAAAGGAACACCATGTTAACTAAGAGGAAGGAATGCTCTCTAGATCAGGCTGGCCTCAATCTCACAGAGATCTACCTGCCTCTGCCTCCCAAGTGCTAGAGATAAAGGTGTGTACCACCACTCCCAAGCTTAAACACTTAATACAAGTCAGTGAAATGAAAGTCAATGATTTAACCATCCAAAATAATTAGCTTAAAATAATGATCCTAACCAGAACAACAAACTCACTAAGGTGACATTTATAAAAAGTTCCCACAAAAACATAGGCCTCGTTTCTCACAGAAGTAGATAGTAACAAATTTATGAAAATCTAAAGACAGGACTTAATATGTAGCATTTATTCAGAAAAATTAAATGATCTATAAACAGTGTAAATATGAGAAATGCTTGTTAAGGGGGAACTGAAAAAATAGATGTGAATACACAGTGTTCATGCTGTCCTTCCTCCCTGGCTGACTGCACTGTGGAATCTGCATTTGCATCATTAACCAGACCTGAAGGAGTAACAACACAGGGACTGGAGAACTGAGGTGGGTTTCCTGAATTACAACCTGAGGCAAAAGCACCTTCCAAAGTTCCAAGTCAGTAATCCTCAGACACTCAGAACTGAGACTTAGATACAGTGCATCAAACTCATTCGTGATTCCATACTTGAGAAAAGCAGCTTTCAACAATAATGCACAGATAATGGACACTTGATTTATACAGTTTATATGTATGTATAAAAGCAGGGGAAAAAACACATTTTAACTACACAAAATGTAATGTGTAGGATTTCTTTTAAAAAATGAGTCCTGAACATGCACAAAATCTGAAGCATTGTATAAATTTGGACTAGTATATATTAGTTTTTTTGTATAGCAAGGAATGAGTATATCAAATAATCTAAAATTAAAAAAAAAACACTAACTATAAACAATTTTTGTTTTTTTGGTCTTTTTGAGACAGGGTGTCCCTGTAGCCCCAGCTGGCCTGAAACTCACTTTGTAGACCAAGGTAGCCTCAAACTCAGAGATCCCGCCTGCCTCTGCCTCCCTAGTGTTGGGATTACTCTGGACTCAACTCTAAACAATGTTAAAGTAACTTTTCTTTCCACCTCTGCTGTCCCCTCACCCCTCCCCACCCCTAGAAAAAGCAAAAAACTCATCAAAAACAAAAGAATAAAAAAAAAAACCTCATCAATTACTTTGCTAACAAATGCAAATTCTTGTTCAAATCAAAAGTTGCAACAAACCTCCACACCCAGCTTCTTTTGCATTTTATAAAAACATGTTATGACCCTAGACAATGCACTGTTGAAAAAGTACCATGAGTAATTTATAACTGTCTATACTTATACAGAGCAAATATCTTTAAAGATCAAGGCCTGTGCTGGCTTCTAGGTGCAGTTCCAGATACCAGAGTTCAAGAATAAAATGCATAAATGCTGAATGATCCTTTGTTTCTAGCAGAGAGGAGAGAGAAGCTGCTCTAGCCAACAGCTGTACATGCAGAAGATGTCACTAGAAGGAACTGACTGGCAAACTTTCTCCTACAGTTACAACTCCCTATGCTTTCAAAAGTTGTTTATTTTAACTTTTAGGCCTTCAATTATCTATCCTACCTCAAAATGAACCATCTGAGTGGCTCAATGCTGAGTCCAAATAATACTTAAAAATCCACATAATAAAAATCTATATACACAAATTCTGACAATGTTTTAATTAGTATAGAAATCAAGAAAAATGTCTTTGAAAATGTTTTTGAAAAATTATACTGGGCTGGAGAGACGGCTCAGCAGTTAAGAATACTGCTTGTTCTTGTAGAAGACCCGGGTTTGAATCCCAGCACCCACATGGCAGCTAACAACTGTCCGTATCTCCAGTTCCAGGGGATCTTACAGGCTCTTCTGTCCTCCATGGGCATTGCACAACACGGGTGCACTTATCTACACGCAGGCAATACACGCATACACATAAAATAAAAACAAATAAAATATTTTTTTAAAAAGAAAAATTAGACTACTTACTTTACATAATATTATTTTCCTCAGTCTGAATTTCCATGTTGTGAAAGTGTCTCATGATGTACCCCAAACTGATCTTAAACTAACAATCTTCCTGCCTCAGCTCTCAAAGGCTGGGATAACCGGTGTGCACCACCATACCCAGCTCATGGTCTATATTTTGAGAGACTGTAAACTTTACAGCAGGGAAGTGTCACCTTGAAGTAAAGAAAATATAAATACAAAGTAAGTTTAGGCCAGGCATGGTGGCACATGCCTTTATTCTCAGCAGAAGCGGGTGGATCTCTGTGAGTTCAAGGCCAGCCTGATCTACAGAATGACTTCCCGGCCAGCTGGGATTACAGGAGACCCTGTCTCAAAAAGACCAAAAAAAAAAAAAAGTAAGTTTAAACTGCAGTGACAGTATAAGCATTCTTATGTTACTATCTTACTATCTACTTCAAAAAACTGAACTAAGTGGTGAAATTATCTTTATCTTTCAGAAATTACTTCAAAATTTCCCAAATTAATGAAAAAATCAAAGTAATTCTGCCTGTGGAAAATACCTAAGCAGGTTCACTCATTTTTAGTTTGTATATATTAAAGGAAATGTCGATATGAAAAACCTAGAAAAGCAAAGAATTAATCAGAATAAGAAAGTATGACAACTTTCCTTAGGAGAGCTCCTTGGCTGTGCACTGGGCTCACTGAGGGCTGGGTGGCAAACAGGCACTGGAAAGGTGCTGGACTAACAAAGGTTAGGACACCAGCAAACACCACAAAAAGCACATCTCAGCAGAGAATGCACACTGAGCACACAGAAGGCTCCAGGAGAATGCAAATAGTCTTCCCAGATTAACAGAAAAACGACACCCACTTCAAATCAAAACTGAAGAACATAATGAGACGTTCTCCCACAGAGAAACTTCAGAGTATGTGCCACACACCCACAGAAAAAATATGCTGGAAATCCTCCATCTTCTCTCTATGTTAAGGTAAAGATGTATCAAACAATTCAAACCCTACAGCACAGATGAGATAAAAGTCTTCTAAAGGAAAAATGATCAATCTTTAGGAGAGCTAGCTACCTCTGGCCACGTTGTCTTCCAGCCACACTGGCTTGCACTGAAAGTACCCACCTGCGAAAGCAAACTACAATAAGTGTTGGAAGACCTCAGAAAACACTGGGGGAAAAAAATCAAGGTGTTTAAACTAGACTGACTACTTACTTCCCTACCCACACACTGTCATTCTTTTTTTCATGGAACAGGTCAGTCTAATCCTATTAAAACTGGAAGGCATTTTCTATTTAAAAAAAAAAAAAGACAAACAAAAAAAACTTCTATATTTAGTATTTTGCATTATCTAATTTATTGATTGCTGTTTTACTTTTATTATTTTCTCTCTTGCTTTATGGGGTCTCCCCATAACTTTTTCCTTGGATGAGTTATTTTCCTTTACTACATATTTACGGCTGTGCCTTCGTCAGTGTACAGCCTCTGCCATACTGCACTGGTTTTTACATGTGATATTTAGATAGCACTTTTCTAATAACTTATCATTCTATTTATTTTGCCTTTGACCTAAAGGCTTGAAAATATCTTTTTAAATTTCCAAATGTTTTCTCTAAATGAATGCATTCCCTTATTTAAAAAAAAAAATCTAAGAAAGGAATTTATTTATTTCCCATAAAACAATTAGCTATATCACTGAATAACAAATACTTCATAGTAACATTTAAAATAAAGTTGCCCCTCAATATCCAAGGGGAACTGATTTAAGGGATGCCACAACAGACTTGAAAATCCATGGATGCACAGGTCTTATAAAATGACACTGTATTTACATATAACCTATGCACAACCCCCCGTATACTGTTTATCTCCCCATTGCTTACAATTTCTAATAAATTCGAGTGCTCTGTATTTCTTATAATATGTTGTTTAGGGAATAACAAGGACAGAAGCCTGCACATGTTTGGTGCAGATCCCTTTTTCCCCATACATTTCTGATCCACAGTTGGTAGACTCTAAGATGAGAGATCTACAGATAGGGAGAACTGACTTTGACTATGCATTTTAAATGGGAGTGCTGGTATTATCTGAACTTTAAAAATCAATCAAAACAAACAATTATAAGTTAAATGATTCTGTATTTTTAATTTATTATTATGTCACATGCATATATGACACACATGTGCCAAGGCATTCATGTGTATATGACATGCACATGTGCCACAGTGTCCATATGTATGTGACATGCACATGCCATAAAGCTCACACAGAGGTCAGAGGACAACTTTCCAGAATCAGTTCTCTCTTTCCACTGGAGGGTCTGGGGATCAAACAGGTTGTCAGGCTGGGTGCCAAGTGTTTTTACCCACAGAGCCATCTCTCCAGTCCATTTTATATTCTTATTTGTGAGCAAAACCACCCGAGATCATAGGTATTCATCGAATTTTTTTTCCTAAGAATTAAAGATGCTAATAGCCAGTAATTTTGTGGATTCTTTTAGAGGAATGTATTTAATGTTAACATACTAAAAATTAAGCCAACATTTACAGTACTGTGAGAACACAAAACACCATAAACCTCAAGTGTTCCATCACTTCTAAGCTCATTATTTAAGATAAAAAAAGTCCTAAATTTCCTAAAAATAGAGAAACCAAATCTTTATAAACAAATGAACTATGTAATTTATTCTTCACAAATCTTTTATTTATTATTTTATTTTATGTATATTAGTGTAGTGCCTGTAGGTAGTAGGGTCACCTGTGTCGTGCAGTACTCTCAGAGGTCAGAAGAAGATATTGGAGCCTCTGGAATGGGAGTTATGGACAGTTATTAGCTGCCATGTGGGTGCTGGGAATTAAACCCAGGTCATCTGCAGGAGTAGTCAGTGCTCTTAACTACTGAGCCATCTCTCCAGCCCCAACAAATCTTTAAACAAGATTTATTTATTTATTTATTTATTTATTTATTTATTTATTTA